AAAAAAAAAAAAAAAAAAAATCAAGAAACCGTGGCACAGAAGGGTTGGGTGACTTATCCAAGGCTGCACAGCCAGCAAGGGCCCGGGCTGGCCCTCCCCACTGTCACCCTGGTCACTGGCGGTGTGCCTGGGGCCTCTGGAGCTCTGACTGCCCACTGCGTCTGGCACACATTTCAAAGGGCCGGGCATGGGGTGGCACAGGAAGGAACTGGAGGTTCTGGTCTGTTGCCTGTCGGTGCCCGAGGCCCTCAAAGGGCAGGAGCCAGAAAGGTTCAGCCTTGAGGAGCGTCTGCCCTCATCCTGCCCTTGGTCACCCAGAGACACCAGGTGCCCTGCCACCCACCCTTCCTCTCCTGCCAAGTCCGTCTCTGGAGCCACCCTGGGGGGTCCCGACTCCTCAGCCTGGGGCTGGGGGCAGCTGGGTCCTCTGTCTCCCTAATGTTCCCCACCATCCAGTGTCCAGGGTGGCCAGGGACCACCTGCTGAATGGGCTTTGGTGACCAGGACTTCCCTCCTGATAGCTAACCAGAGCTTGAGCCCTTCCAGATGGGCGTTTCCGGCTCCCAGGGCAGGAAGGCTGCCCCTACCCCAGCACCAGGGCACAGGTCTGGGAGGAGGGCTCTGGGGACCCTGGGACCTCTCCTGGCCCCGTGGGACCTGTGCCTCTGCTGGGAGTTGTGGGAGCTGTGGGAACTGAAGCGCTGGACCCCAGGGTGGCAGTGGCCTCGGTGGCAGCCACACTGGAGCCTGCCAGGCCCTGGCCCCGGTGGGAGGAGCATTCCGGCTTCCCGTGGGCTCCTTTTCCCCTGTCCTGGAAGGGAGTGGGAGGAAGTGGGGATGGCAGGGTGGAAGGTACATTGCTTGTTTGGCTCATTTTCAGGCAGTGGGAGTTGCTTTTGGTTTTAAAAAATATGTGTCACAAATAAAGATGTTTTTGAAAGTAAAACTTTTCTGCCTTAGAAAAAATCATCCCTGTGCCCTCCTGGGGGCTCGGGGGACGCCAGAGGGAGGTTATGCAGGGCCTCTGTCTGGCTTCATGTTCTGCCGTTTCAGTCATGACAGATGGGGAAACTGAGGTAAAGCAGTGTACCCTGCGCCACACTGCAGGAGGAAGGGAGCCAGGGTCAGTGCCCGAAGCTCCCGCCCCTCCCTCGCTGTGTCTATGATGAGGAAGAGGGGACAGACACCAGGGTCACGGCGGCCAGGACCCCTGCATCTCCATGTGGGGCTGGAGCGGGGTGGGCAGGCTCCAGGGCTGGGCTCAACGCTGCCCTGGGTGGTGACAGGCTGGTCCCGGTACCTCACAAAATATACTGCTGGTGGTGGGCATGGTCTGGGGCATGGAGCGAGGCCAGACACCAAAGAGTGCAGGCCGGGGTTCAAATACCGCGGCGTGCTGGATGCTCTGGCCACAGTCACCACACGGCCCCGCCTGCCCCCCTCGACCCTGACAGTCTTTGTGATGTTGCTCCCAGCTGGCCAAAATGAGCCCCAAACACAAGCGCCGTGTGGGTGGGGGTCACTAAGCCCCTGGTGACGTGGGTGGAGCTCCTCCTCTCAGGCCCCCAGACGGCCCCCGAAGCGTCCGCCATCGTCCACGTGCCAGGAGGGTGGCCGGGCAGGCTGCCGTCTAGGCCAGGCTAACCCTTCTGGTGGGCGTGGGTGCCCCCAGGGCCGGATGCGCTTGTGCAGAAGCCCGTCTCTGAGCAGCAGCCAAGCTGCGGGGACGACCGTCCCGGGTGAGCGCACAGCCTGCCTCCGTCCACATATAATCACCCCGGGCTGTGGCGCGCAGGAGCTCGGAGGAGCCACCATGGAGACCAGGCTGTCGTGCACCGACCTGGGCGCCCTCGTGGTGCTCTGGGCGCAGGTGGCAGCGGCCATGGTGGACCTGAACCGGCAGAAGGTGGCTGCTGCTTCTTAGTTGGCGGGGCTCCTCCTGGCCTCCCGCCCTGCAGGCTCAGGGAAGGAGGCCTCTCCTGGTGTGGGGGGCTCAGTGGGGACGCTGGTGCTGGCCGGACACTCCCGGTTAGCAGCATTTTCTTCACCACTGAGGCTGTGCCGGCTGCTGGGCCAGGTGCGCATTGGCAGGCCCAGGGAAGGTAGACGCTCAAGAAAAAGATTCTTTCCTCCAAAAATGATCGGGTTTTTAAAAGTCTCAGCAGAAGTCCTGGCTCTGGGCAGCTGGCTGAGGGCAGACGACCCCTCCCCTAGCGTGGTCAGTGGTTGGTGGAATGTCCCCTAGCATGGTCAGCGACTGGGAACTGTCCCCTGGCGTGGTCGGTGGCTGGTGAGCTGTCCCCTGGCGTGGTCGGTGGCTGG